CCCTAATTATGTCGCCTTTGCTCCCAATTTGGCGATATTTAAAAAACGTGTTGACGACGCATTGTCTCACTTACAATACATTTTATGACTTGTTAGTCTAGGGCTACAAAACGAAATCAAACAATGTCTTGCCAAACACCTAACCAATGGATTTATGGATTTATACGTTTAATACGAGAACATCACCGCTATTCCACATAAGTCTATGGTGAGTTCACCACAACGCTTTTCACTTTATTATGCAATTGATTTTCGCAATAATTTCCATCCTACTAAAACATGTTAAGCAACGCTTTGTTTTACCCATACTAAACCATTGTTCCGTTGTTCGTAAGGTCGCTCTAGTGGTCTGTGGAGACCATCGAAGCGAATAAAAACAAACGGACAGTGCTGCAGGTCTTGAGGAACAAAAGACACGTCGTTACTGTCTGATGTCGGGAAGTTTGTAGGGACGCATGCTCGTGGCAAGCTGACGAGCGTAATTCGCGTCGTAACGGGGAACTCTGGAACTATCGGAGAAGAAATCGCCAGGTAAACGTAATGGTTGTCCATATGCTAACTCGGCACTAGACATGTAGATCGACCTTTAGGGTGGATCGGATGCCAATGAGGATCACAGGCAGCACCTCAGTGCATCTCAGCGCACTGGCGGCGCTAAGTGAGGTTTTCAGCTGTCGGCAGAAACGTTCCACCCTGCCCTTCCCCTATGGATGATGGGCGGCCGTGCGACTGCATCGGCATCCAATGAGTTTAAGGAGATCGTTAAAGGCCGAAGATTCGAATTGTGAACCACGGCCAGTCGTCACTGTGGCTTGACAGCCATGTGAAGCGACCCAGCACTCGAAGAAAGCACACGTTACGGTTACCGTAGCTATGTCAGCGATTGGAACTGCCTCGGGTCAAAAAGTAGACCATTCCTTTGGACGGGGCCAAAGGTCCCACTATGTCGAGGTGGACATGGGCCAATCGCGCTGAAACGGACGGAAAGCGCTTAATCGGAGCGGACACGTGCCGCTGGATCTTGGCTTGCTGTCACGTGAGACAGCTGCGTGCCCAGCGCGTAAGATCGCGTTGCATCTCCGGCCAAACGTATCTCTCGGAGACCAGCTTGGCAGTAGCTTTAATGCCTGAGTGGGCGATACGGTGGAGGGTGTCGAAAACGATACGGCGAAAAATTTCTGGAACGACGTATCGAGGTCGTCCGTTAGGTGTGTTTCATAAAATTGTGACATCAGATGACGGCAGAGGGTGTGGGAATATCTTCAAAGAAGAATCGAGGAGTTCCGAAAACCTAGTCGTTTGACTGCGCGGCGGCCAATGCGAAAAGATTGACTGCCTGCCCGGCAGGACTGATCGCAGATACTCTTAACAAAGTTCAGCGACGAGGTTTTGTTGATCAGAAATGTGTCGGATATCAGTCGAGAATTGGGCAATAAAATCCAGCTGACGAATCTCACGTGATGAGTGTCGAGCTGATTGATTTCGGAATGCGTAGATAAGCGGCTTGTGATCGGTGAAGATAATGAAGGTGTTATCTTTATGGACGTGTCGGAAATATCGAACGGTGGAGTAAAGGGCCAGAAATTCTCGACTGAACGTGCTGTACTTGTACTTCAGCAGGTTTCAAGCATCTAGAGTAGAAGGTGAGTGGTTTGCAACATCCATCTGTAAGTTGCTGAAGGACGACGCCAATGGCAGTGACCGATGCGTCAACAGCAACACTGAGAGGAGTGTTCAAATAGAAATGGCGAAACATAACGGCTTCGGCTAAGGCCTCTTTGCTGGCCTTGAACGCTTCGGTAGCATTAGCAACAGCCAATTCCAACTGACCGTTTTTACCTCCTCGAGGCATATCTGTAAGTGAACTTAACACTTCGACGCAGTGTGGAATCAACGCCGGTAATAGTTGATCATGCCGTTAAAACGACGAATAGCGGCTAACGTAGTCGGGACTGGAATGTCTCTGATGGCGCGAACTCTATCGTCTAGAGGTCGTATACCATACTGATCAATATGGTGGCCAAGAAATTCGACGGAAGGCTGATAAAATACGCATTTTTTGGTGTTGATAGTGATGCTATTAACAGCCAGCCTTTCGAAAAATTCTTGAGGCGTTCTGCGTGTTGTTTTCCAGAAGCGCTTGCAGCCAGAATATAGTCGATGTAGGGATAGACGAAATCTAGACCTATAGTGACTGAATCGATGAATCGTTGAAAAGTCTGGGCTGCGTCGCCAATACCGAAGGACATACGCGAAAATTCGAGGAGTCCAAACGGCGTGATTACGGCAGCCTTCTTTATATTTTCCTCAGCGAATAGGGTCTGGTGGTAAGCGCGAACCAGATCGATTTTTGAGAAAACACGAGTGCCGCGCGGGCTAGCCGTGATATCCTGAATGTGAGGAGTAGGATACCGGTCGGGAACAGTTGCATTATAGAAAGGGAAGCCCGGTTCATGGACCTACCGTGGCTCGCTTACGGTGAATGCCCGGCATTAACGATTATTGTCCCCACCTTCCAATTGTCATCCAATGTTTGGAGAATGCGCAAACTGACAGACTGCATACGGTGCGCGCGTGTATATGCATAGATTTCTCTCTAAGTTTAGTGCTGAGGACATATGTCATCCTTAGCAGACGAGTGGTTTAGTTCAGCGATCCGCTCAGTGCAAGCGTGAAGATGGTGAGGGCCACATTAGGAAGTTTTGTTTTCATGCGCGATGAGTACGGACAGCCATCTTACGCTTCCGGCGATCGCTAGCTGTCAGCTAACTTCGCATTGGGTGCTGAAAGTCATGGCCAACCGTAGGCACTGCGGCGATCGATATCTATTTGTGTCTCGCTGAGCAAAGCGAAACAGCCATGCTACGTAGCCAAGTCGGCTTGGGCAACATGAAAAGCGCTGCCACAACCGCGGCATGAATGAGCGCCCGGGATGGTTTCTCAGTGAACCGGGTGTTTTGGATTAGATGAGGGCGATATTAGCCAGCGCAAGTCGTGTCACTGTCATTGAATCACTGCCTCAGGTAATGGAGCGCGAACAGATCCTCCCTTCAAGTATGTATCTGCAATCGGGATCACGCGACGTGCCTGTTACTCGACGCGGGCTTATTATTCAGCTGTATGGTGAATGCGGTTTAAAGGCCGCATCAACTGCCCGACGATATAATGCAATGAACGAAGGAATGCGTCCTATCACCGTCCGGCACGTGGTTAAACTATTGAAGATGTTCGAACAAACTGGGAGTATGTGCAACATAAAGAAAACCGGACCGTCTCGCATCCCTACGGACGGCTGTTCAGCTTGCGCTGTAATCAGTGTTGTATCGGAAAATCCCGATCTCAGCCTACGTCGGATCGCACAGCACTGTGACACGACCCGATACACGGTACAGGGGAGATTAAAGAAACGCAAAGTTCGAAGATTCAGTGCACTTCAAGTGCAGGTTTTGAAACCCTGCAATCTGGAGAAGCCGCATGAATTTTGCCGATGGTTCCTGGATCACGGGGACATACATTCTCTCATATTTACAGATGAGGCGCTGTTTCATCTGTATGGAACAATGAAACAGTACTCTTGAGCTAACAGTAACTCATGAAGATATACCGCATCACATATGCATCACAATATCAAACTACTGGTTTGGGCTGGATTAACAAGCCAGAAAATCTTGGGCCCATATTCCTTTTTCGGGAATGTAGGTTTTGTTTTATTTATTATCGTTCCCTAGCATCGTCGTACTTAGAAATGCTGCAGACATTTGTGCTACCACAGGTGGACGCCGAAGGAGCATGCAGTACCATTGGGCGGCATCAAGATGGAACATCTGCACACTCTGCTAAAACGGTGTGTGCTTACCTCACCAACAAACTTGGTCACCGTTGGATCAGACGCGGTGGAACAATGGGGTGACCTGCTCGCTCACCAGGTTTGAGCCCCTGCATTTCTTTCTATGAGGTCATCTGTAGCGAAGAGTGTACAAAACAAGGCCGCGTATATTGAACCAAGTGAAAGAAAGTATTGTGAAAGAATGTCGCGCAATCACGAGGGATATATTGAATAACGTGCTCGCCAACTGCATCAAGCAGTTTCTGCACTGCAAACAGGACGCAGGCGGACATTTTGAGCATATCCTTCACTAACATAGATGATCTTTTTAACTTATTTCTGTTAATATACTTATCTTCTTTCACAAATGTGTTAACAACTATATTGGTCCAATGGCAAATGGTGCTAATAATGCGTGCGATCGGATAAACTTCTTAGCGTCTAGGCTGTCGTTGAGCACATCACAGCTTAAGCACTGAAAACATCGGTGGCTACTTATAGCTGAATCAGTGGGACGCTATGAGCTGAGGTTCGTCCCGCCTTAATGAATAGTGGGAAAAAGTTACGTTAATAGGCGAGGTAGACGTTTGTTTTCGCATTATACAATCCCGCTGGCTAAAGGTAGTGTAAAAATGTACTAGCTAGGGAAATGTTATGGTCGTCAACGCGGACCGCTTTGAGGCGGGAAGTCGGAAGCGTGCGCATTGTGATTTGTTTGGTTTACTCAAACAAACGTAGTCACTGTTCGAACAAGCAAGATTCATACGTTGCTGAGGTACTAAATGAAACTATCTTTTTGTAAGATTTCACACGTCACACCCAGACAGATAGGGAAACCATTGCGGATGATTTCAGTATTCATGCTTTAGAAACTCCAGCAACCGAGGCTGAACTGTTCAAGACCTATTTACAAGAACAACTATACAGCACACCCCTTTACAACTACGTCACCGATCTCACTAAGTTCAGAACAGCGAATAAGTCATCAAGATTAGATCTAGTGCTCACCCGCGAGGGGCTCATGGTTGATGGCCTTAATGTATTGTTACGTGTTCAACCAATGATCGCTCACTATGACCGTGGACCTGATTGGCCCTACACACACACGTAGATAAGCACGCACACACGCACTCAAGGACACACCCTAACTTTCCGTGTTCACATGTAAACCGTTAAGTGTTCAGTATACTGTGTGCCAGACTGACGCGTCTTCTTGCTTATTCGCTACTAGTCGAAATACGTACTTGCGGTTAGAGTCCAGCCGTGATATCTGGCGACGGAGGTCAACATGTCCATGACAAATACTCCACCGGTCTTCTGGTCGTGCTCTACCGACAAACCTTCCCTGGACTCGTGGCATAGATGGCGGAAAACCTTTACGGATTACTTGGAATTGCTTCCAATCTTGAATCCAGCAGTATCTCTTACTGAGAAAACCAAAGTGAAGCTCTTGAGACAGTTTCTTGGAGATGAGGGTCAAAGGTATTTCGATGCACTTCGCATTGATCAAATCTCTTCTACGATAACCGGCGCTTTGGAGACCTTCAGTGCTCTTTGGGGTGCTCGCCAGAATGTTTTTACGGCTAGATACTACTTCTCGAAACTCTGCCAGAAACCAGATGAGAGTGTGAACGAGTTCATCGCTCGTGTACTACAAGCAGCACCTGATTGTAAATACAATGAAGTCGATCCAACGAGATTTGAAGAGACCATGTTACTCCAATGTTTGATAGCCGGAATCTCAGACCAGAGCACGCGGGAGAAGCTCCTTTCACAAGATGATTGTTCACTGACCTGGGAGACGGCCTGCTCGATTGCCCGGCAGAGGGAACACCTTACACAACAACTCGCAACATTTACGCTGAAGGACTCGTCAGATGAGCTGCGATTGATTAACACTACACCAAAACCAAAGCCACCCACTGGCGTCAATTTGTTTGTGTGCTATCGCTGTGGTGAGCAGCACAGTTGTCCATCCGACTGCCGGCATCAGAAGACAGTATGTCGAAGCTGCGGGAAGGTGGGCCACCTGGCGCGAGTGTGTAGATCGGTCAAGCGACGTTCAGGTGGGGCTTATCGAGGAGCAAACCCCATCAAAACTGTGGACGAGTCTGATGGTAGCGACTCTGAATTACATTCCATTTGGCTTAATTCCGTTTCTAGCATGCAGCCGGCGCCATACACTCTAGAGCTTTACATTGAAGGACAAAAGGTACAGATGGAAATCGATACAGGAGCATCCGTGACGATAATCCGGGAAAACGCTGTAAAAACGCTCCCGAACTTATCCGCTTGCAATTCTGTTCTTCGTACATACACCGGTGAACCTATACGTGTCCTTGGTAAATGCTTCGTGAAGGCACAGTATGGCGACAAAATACGCACACTTCCTGTATATGTGATCCCCGGGGATCGTCCAAATCTGCTTGGAAGAGACTGGATACGTGCTTTCCCGGATACAATGAATGTGGTAAAATTAGTCACCGAGATCTCCGGACTTGAAACATTACTTAAACAACATTCAGCTGTTTTTTCCGAGGAGCTTGGGAAGTTGAAAGAATTTCAGGCTGCGATAAAACTAAAGGAAGACGCTCGACCAAAATTCATTAAGGCGCGCACACTACCATACGCTATGAGGCCTAAAGTTGAAGAGGAACTAAACCGCCTACAGACTCAAGGTATTATTACTCCTGTACACTTTTCTGACTGGGGAACTCCAATTGTGCCAGTAACCAAACCGGACGGCTCCGTACGGATTTGTGGTGACTACAAGATAACCATAAATCAAGCATCCATGCTGGTCAGGTACCCCTTGCCACGTATTGATGACTTGTATGCAACACTAGCTGGTGGTGAAAAGTTTACCAAACTCGATCTGAGTCATGCATACTCGCAGATAGAGCTCGATGAACCTTCGAGGAAACTTACTACCATCACCACGCACATGGGACTATTTCAATATACTCGTTTACCTTTTGGCATTAATTCCGCCCCCGGAATATTTCAGAGAATTATTGACGACCTAGTGAAGGACATTCCTTTTGCGTGTGCTTATCTGGATGATATTCTTATCTCTGGACGCTCGGATACAGAGCATCTTCGAACACTCGCGGTCGTGCTCGAGCGTTTGGAGCGAAGTGGATTCAGATTGAAAAGGTCTAAATGTGAGTTCCTTTCACCTTCCGTTTGTTACCTTGGATACCGGCTTGATAAACACGGTTTACATGTTTTAAATGACAAGGTTAAACCTATTTTAGAAAGCCCAGAGCCAAAGAGTTGTGATGAACTCCGTTCGTTCTTAGGAATGCTATCTCACTATCGCCGTTTCCTGCCTAATGCATCGACGGTTCTATCGCCATTAAATGAGCTGTTACACAAAAATGCATCGTGGTGTTGGGGTTCCCGTCAAAAAAGTGCCTTCAATAAAGCAAAACAAGCTCTTGCTTCGCCACCAACGTTAGTCCATTATGACTCTAACAAGCCACTCATACTTCAGTGCGACGCGTCCCCTTGGGGGGTCGGGGCTGTCCTGTGCCACCGCATGGACGATGGTTCTTTACGTCCCATAGCATATGCATCGCGCACCTTACAGACGGCGGAGAAGAACTACTCACAACTGGACAGGGAAGCGCTAGCCGTTATCTTCGGAGTTAAGAGGTTTCACCAGTATTTATGGGGAAACGTTTTCGAGCTTCATACAGACCACAAACCATTGATATCCTTGTTTGGGGAAAACAAAGGTATACAACAAATGGCATCACCGAGGATGCAAAGATGGGCTATAACCTTGAGTGCTTACAGTTACAAGATTGTTTATATTACCGGCGTCAGCAACTGCACAGCTGATGCACTCAGCCGTCTGCCGATCACGGAAACTGCACATGAACACGACCCTCCGTTTGAACTGGTTAATCTAATGCAACATCTAGACACAACACCGATACGGAGTTCAACAATCCGTCAATGGACGGATCGAGACCCCGTGCTATCAATGGTGAAACGCTTTTTGAACATGGGTTGGCCTCCTGAAGGGACAGTTGAATTACAACCGTTTATGATTCGGAAGAACGAACTGAGTCTATTCGACGGCTGTGTTTTTTGGGGCTCTCGTCTAGTCCCTCCCACCAAGGCGCGTTCACAGATACTTAAAGAGCTCCATGATGCTCATCCAGGTGTGGCGAGAATGAAGGCACTAGCGAGAGGGTACTGCTGGTGGCCCAACATCGACTCAGACATAGAGAACTTACTGAAGAATTGCGATATTTGTCAGGCGTATCAGCGGAGCAAGGCGCCAGGTCCAATACACCCTTGGCGTTGGCCCGACAAGCCCTGGCAGCGTATCCACGCCGACTACTTCGGACCGATCGACGGGACCATGTTTCTTCTACTTATTGATGCACATTCTAAGTGGATTGACGTACATCCAGTTACTCAGGCGACAGCCGAATCCACCATCACTAAAATGCGCTCGTCCTTCGCTACGTTTGGCATTCCGGAAACCATTTGTACAGACAATGGTTCGCCTTTTACCAGTGCCGAATTTGGTAAATTTGTCGCCAACAACGGAATCCAACACGTTAAATCAGCCCCGTATCACCCAGCATCAAACGGATTAGCGGAGCGTGCAGTACAAACTGTGAAACAAGGCTTACTAAAGCAGCGAACGGGAACATTGCGAACAAAACTGGATCGGTTCCTATTCTCCTACCGTTCTACACCCACTGAGGCTACCGGGAAATCCCCGGCGGAATTGATGTTCGGCAGAAATCTGAGAACGAGGCTTCATTTGTTGTTCCCGAACCCGCGTGTTGAAGTACAGGAGCGTCAGAAAAAGTTTGTGTCTTCAGAGGAATCAAAGCCGGAAGTTACATTTCAGGACCATCAACCTGTTTACACCAGGTTACCGCATGAACAATGTTGGCAGCCGGCGACTGTGCTCGATTCTTCAGGAAGTCAAAACGATTTGCAGCTTCCGGACGGCCGGGTTGTTCGCCGGCACTCAGATCATGTACGCCCCAGGAGCACTGACACACCTGCCGTGAGTCAGTCACACTCGGAGATCGCAGAGCAAGCTGCAGAGCACGACGAACACAGAACAACAGGGGAAACTCAATTACGCCGATCGACCCGGATTCGCAAACCGATCGAACGTTTTCAGCCATGACTGTAACGTCAGCCAAAACAGGGAGGACTGTTACGTGTTCAACCAATGATCGCTCACTATGACCATGGACCTGATTGGCCCTACACACACACGTAGATAAGCACGCACACACGCACTCAAGGACACACCCTAACTTTCCGTGTTCACATGTAAACCGTTAAGTGTTCAGTATACTGTGTGCCAGAGTGACGCGTCTTCTTGCTTATTCGCTACTAGTCGAAATACGTACTTGCGGTTAGAGTCCAGCCGTGATATGTATGCAGTCCTCTGGGTCGAAGCCATCACGTGATCTTACGGTTCTATCACATTTGATACCCCGTATACCCCGATACAGAGCCCGAAAAGATGCAATCTATTATGCATTACCTGGTTTTGTCCGAATTCGTTGAAAATTTAGTTGGATATTCATGACTGTGAACATCAGAGATAGCCTGGAAAGTTTTCTTGAAAATCTTCACGTCAGTGGTCACCTTAGCATCAGAAACAAAAACTTTCCACCGGCCCATCAAACTAAAATTCCTCCTGAGAAGCCGAACACGAAACTTTATGACCCTAAGGAGTGGTTACCCCCTTTCCCACTCTAAAATCCCCCCCCCAACTCTCACCTCCCCACTTAAACTCTACTACTACCTCTCCCAACAATACCCCCCATTCACTATCCTCCCTAAACCCCCCCCCATTCTCTACTCCTCCCTCCAATAACCATCACAAAATCACCAACCTATCTCCATCCCCCCCTCCTCAAACCTACCCCCCCTACATTCCAATCCTTTTTCATATACAATCCTATCATTCACACTAATATTCTCTTTCACTCCATCTCCCATCCTCCCACCAAAATTCCTTCCCCCCCCCCTTACTAATACCCCATACCCTACCACCCTTATCCCCTCAACCTTCTCACATAACTCTTCTCTACCACCCCACAATTTCTACCCCACTCCCCACTCCCTAATCCACCACATATCACCACCCTCACCCCCTCCTCCCCTAACTCATTTCCCACCTTCCCCTCTTTACATTTTCATAAATTCTACCAATAACCTTTAAATCCTTCTAAACTCCCTCCTAAAAATCAACTCCATAACACCTAACCACTAACCTCCCCCCATCCAATTCAAATCCCTTACTCACCCCTCCACCCATTCAACCTAATAACCCTACACCACTCCCCCTCCACAATTCCACAAAACATAAATTCTTTCTCATCACCCTACCCCCTCAACCTCCACACCTTATACCTCCTCATATCCACTATTTCTTATTTACTCTAATATCAATATCTCCACTATTCAATCAACTACCTCCCCTAAACCCTACCCTCCCTTAAACCTTTTTACTATCTACCCTCCCACCTCTAACTACACCCCCACCCCTTCTCCCTCCATCCATCTCCCCCCAACACCCACACTCCCTCACAATCCTTTATTAACCCCCTCCCCCCTATCAACCACCACCACCCCCATCCCACATCACACTCCCCCAATTTTCCCATACTCCTACAATCACCCTTAAACCACCAAACATCCCCAACTCTCCCACTCTACCACCACCATCAACCCCACCTCAACCACCCATATCCCCCCCCCCCCCCCCCCCCCCCCCCCCCCCCCCCCCCCCCCCCCCCCCCCCCCCCCCCCCCCCATCCCCCTCCCCCCCCCCCCCCCCCCTCCCCCCCCCCCCCCCCCTCCCCCCCCCCCCCCCCCCCCCCCCCCCCCCCCCCCCCCCACCCCCCCCCCCCCCCCCCCCCCCCCCCCCCCCCCCCCCCCCCCCCCCCCCCCCCCCCCCACCCCCCCCCCCCCCTCCCCCCCCCCCCCCCCCCCCCCCCCCCCCCCCCCCCCCCCCCCCCCCCCCCCCCCCCCCCCCCCCCCCCCCCCCCCCCCCCCCCCCACACCACACCCAACCAACCCCCCCCCACCCCTACACTCCCAACACCCCTCAAATTAACCCACTTACACATCATCCCCCCATTCCCCCCTCCATCTACTCACAACCCCCCCTTCCATACCCCCTAACTTACCTACCCCCAAATTCCACCCATAAACGATGTGTATGAGTGTTTGTTTATCTTGCTGTGACATGCCTCTTGACTTCTTGTTCATATCATAGCAAATTGATCATTGTGTATTATTGCCAATTTCTCCTAATGTAATATGTTAGTCTAATCTGCACCTCTCAATTGTCTCTCTCTAGTCTTTAGCTTTGTGATCAATGTCGTATCTGCTTCTATTTGTGTCTGTACAAGACTAAGCTTGTTCGACGTCGGTGATTTTGATGTTTCTAGTTATTCGTTACGGACGTGTTTGAGACATTCGGCGTTAGTACTCAAAGACAATATGAGTAAGAGTAGCCTCCTGATGAATCTCATAACTATACTTCTGGATGTCTAAACATCTACTAGTAAGATTTAGTGATAATATGACATGATCAGAGTATTCGTCGCGAAACGTGCCACACTGAGATAGTAAGAGATTTTTCTGTCAGAGTATAATACTTTTCTGTGCCCAGAGCGACTGACTCGCTTGTTGACGTCCTTGTGAGAATCTCACGCTCTCTCGTGCAACTCATGTGTATTGTTGAAGAGGCTCTGCTGATTTCCTACTTACAGACTTAGTCTATGATGCTGTTCTCTCATAACTGTGTATCTCATCGCGTTCTCACTTGGTTCGTCGCAAGTTCGTATCAGTACGCAGGATCTCTGACACGCATCTAGATTGCATATCAAACGCTTCACATGACCACTTGCAAGACTTAACTCATAGATTTTCACTGAGTGATATACACTAATGTCAGCGAGAATTTAGAATATAACAATCTATATAGAAACGGCTCACTTCTCCGAATCACGTGAGAGATAATCGCTGTATTCTCATGTAACAACATTTTTAATTCCACTACTTGTAATTCTCGCTCACATCCATTTTTAATTTACAAAATACTAATCATAAAAATCCTCTATTTAACTAAGACGAGCTCTACGTATACAATCCATTCTGAGGTCTAAGAGATAACATTCAGTGACTTACACTCACTCTGTCCTCTAGACACTGTCTCAGTTGCTGTCCTTAATGGATATAAAGTATGCTATAGTCATCAAGAACATATCTACTCAAACTCTAATAATGTGTGATCATCTACTGTATCTCACTAGTTATTACTCAGACTCAATAATAAGATATCTCTGTTCTACATTGAGTAATTGCACGCAGTTGTGAGTATAGTAGTAATTAGGTATTGATGAAATAATAGCTGGCTAATGACTCTCACTAATGGCTCTTTGCCGCAGTTGTTAGACGTAGATCATACGTCGTGTTACATCTACGCGAAGCTCCTATTGCTCAACTACCATCGAGCTTGTCTTTATGAGCTCTGCAGTGCGGCGCTCTGGTTAAATATGTCCTGTATACCGGGTACTCGTCTTATTGTGAAGGAAACTCAGAGACTCTTCCCTCATTGAGTGTCTTGACGAACTATACTCTTCTAATGACTTATATAGATCCGACAACTCCTCACGAGACAGATACACTTTTTAAAATATTTAGGGTCTGCGCATGAGATCGCTTTATGTGTCACCTCCCCAATTTGCTTATGTACTCCACTCCCTCCCTCTTTCTTATTTATATCTACACGCCCTCACCTTTTTTTATTGTTGTGTCCTGAAGCGATCACAGGTCCTCTATAGCTCGCTACAAGAATACTCGCTCTCACTCTCTCTCTCCTCCGTAGGCACTCATCCGGCACTCTCTCACACATGCACATTGTGCCGACCGCTCAGGATGAAATTTAAATTCTGTGTAGTCTCTCTTATATTCAGTATTCATGAGTATACTCCTTACCTCGCACCCGTTATCACGTGTTTTCGCACGATTAACAGAGGTCCATCCTTGAACTGTGACTTATAAAGAGGTTTCTCTAGAATAGAACAGCCGGAGAGCGTATCGCTCATGATTGTCGTCACATAGAAATAGTACTTCAGATATGTCTGTCATCTATGTACTCTCACTATCTATGTTTAGTAACTCTCTCGTATCTTCAGCCTATTGTGTAGAATTTTCTCGAGAGTACGCATCCGCAGTCACCATCATGATTTAGCTACGGCATGTTAAGCTCTTTGTTTGTCCCCCCTCCCCCACATAACCATCCACCATCTTAACAATCCCCCCCTCTTTTAACCAACCCCCTACAACACATGTGAGTTACCTCCATCCCCATTAAACAAACCAGCCCCACCCCCCCTACCCCCCCACCTCATACCTGAATCGCACAGACGTTCTGGTCGTGTTTTATCTGCTTATCCAATAGACAATCATATATTGTCAGCAGCTGTCCTCATACGCACCTCATGATCTCACTTGGTCTTCTGTGGACGCGCTATTTAGATGCGCAGCACTATTGCAGTACAGTACGATTCTGTAAGGGTAGTACATGCCTATCAGCATGATGTTCTGAACTAGCAATCATCTAAACGGGCGTAGGTCTATAGATAGCATATTGTTACTTCTGCTGTCTCTAAATGCCCACACTGGACACTATTCTCGGGTCTTGAGAAGCAACAATGGGATGAAGATTCATCCGGGACCCGCGTGGAGAGTTTGGTTTGTAATTTCGCAAGATGTGATAGTCGAACAGATGCGCGCTGGAGCGTACACCTTAATGTCATATTGTCACTTATACCTCGAACCTCCATCATAGTAGAGTCGCCTAGCTGTACACATATACATTTGCCGGTCTGCACGTCAGTAGGAGCGAAACAAGTCGGTGAGAATACACGTGAAATAATAGTCACACGCGCATGAAGTGACTCAGGAGGTGAGATATGAGAGAGCGGCACATATATATCAGCGAAGAGAATCGAAGCCCGAAGTTGTAGATAGCAACCAGGGATTCGTAGCGAGACTATAGCTGTTGATGAAATGCGTAAAAAGCGTCCCGCACTACTATGTAATCGTGTTCTCTCGCTACGTCTCACTTGCGGCGTAATGAACCTCACGGAGTTGTTCCCAGCTCGACACTTACCTGTCCTCTCACTCATCCGCTCCATACATTAGTTTCGCGAGGGTACCTCAGCTATCAGCTAGGGATGTGCTTGTCTCCTCAAAATGTTTATTGATAATAAAACGCGGTCTGTCTATCAGAAACTATTGGCAAAGATGGTGTCAAAATGTGGTCTGGGCTAAAAATCCTTGTGCGCCAGCATATGAGCGTCAGTTCCGCTACACGTCGCCTATGTACCTGCTGAGTCCTGTGAGAAGTGTGTCGCCGCTGCGCATATGTCGCTGGGTCGTGCCACGACCAAGGTTCTGGATGATCGGGTTCGTCACTGCGTATGAATGCTGATCGTGCACTGCTTGCACGCGTCGCGAGCTTTGAGAGTCGAAGTAATTGTGTAATAACGAATTCTTTAGAGAGAACTGATACGCTTAAATCTGTCTCTCGAGACGGGTCGCGGTATCAGCGTAAACTGTGGGACTTAAGTCAGCCTCGCGTCCGCCTCTCGTGCCGTCTCTCACATAATGCGCGTGGATGTCATCTCTGAATTGCTCGCGAGCGGCGCGCGCATCATGAAACGACGCTCGGGAAATAGTAGCGTGTATCTGACATACTGAGAATGTGATGTGTCTGAGAGTACGGTGCCAGCTATAGCTGTGCGGCTCGCGACATCGAAACCTTCTGGCAGTTCGCGACAGTGATGATGCATTAGACTGATATAAGTGATGATGTCCAAAGTGTTATAGAGAGTCGCTTTTATCTGTTGTCACTAGTGAAAAGAGAATGTGAAATGGCAGCAAACTGGCTGTGTGACTGTCATACAGAAAGTCGAATAACGTCAAAAGTCTCTCATGCATTAGAGCCAATCGCTTACGTGCACTTGGTCATATATCTAATGTGTGATTGTCAGTGACGCAGGACGCCAAGAGTGTCGTAACTTTGAGCGCAAGACGGGACAGTGCTGACTGTAAGCAGGACTCTGCTAGCTCGTGAGCTTGCCATCTGTACACCTATAGACATGTAGGTTTATGGTAGTCGAGCATGAGAGAGAGGAGTGACAGTAGGTTTCGTGCGAAAATTTCAAATATTATCTGCCAGTTGACCAATTGACTAGTGAGTTTGTAAGACAATTTGTATTGTTGATATTTTAATCATATCATCTTCGTTGATGAGTAGGATAATAAAACAATATTGTCATGCTTAAATAAAATTTTTAGCACAATGAAGATTACAACAGACAATGGGTAGGGAAAGTATGACGCCCAGTTACTTTACGTTTACCACACAGTTGCTCGAAAACAAACCTATTCTCACGTGCTCGTGATGGTTGGATGAAGGTTCCTTTCTGACATATCAATCTCGTTCGCTGGAAGTCTCAATCGATTTATCACTTACTGTCTATCTGGCTGACATACATGATCTCTCTTACAATGATGTTAATCGTGGTGGAGACAACGAAACTATCATCGGACAGCGGACATTCCCAAACGGCTCTGCTATAACAATGCGTCTGAGAGGAAAGAATCGACTTGGTAATCGTAGACAATGAGAACAATTAGGATAAACTGCTGGGAGGCTGACAGAGTATTGTCAGTTCAATGTCTTTTGCTTGCCAGCACCCTGAATTTCGATGGGTATGAGCAAATATGCCAAGCTATTAACAGATAGCAGAGGATGTTTTAATGGTTCTGTAACAGGATTGAACTTAGATTTCATCATTCCCGCGAGGAAATCGACAAGTCGAATCTTCAGAAGAATACCACAAAATACGCTGACGGAGTTACAGAATAACAGCTAAGTAGAGCTGGTAAAGATTGGGATTTCATCAGGCGAAAAGCGTAGTCCGGTTATCTATTAACCGTGGTTACTGATCAAAATAGAGTCGACGGATTCATACAGATTTGGCATATATTTCAGAGAAATGATCAGACTGACTGTGGAAGATACTTTTCCGTGCCCCTGATTAAGAAT